CTGTCTCTCCCTTCAACGCTTCCAAATAACTCTGTTGAACAGTAGGGCTTTCATCTTCAAGTGCCACAGACCGAGGTCGTTCACTCCGATGAACTTTTCAATCTCATACTTTATTGAAGTCATCTTCTCCATGCTCACCGTATCAATTTGTTGTGAATCAGATACCTTATAACAAAGTATAAACTGGTTTTTGAATGATCAAGAAACACACAAGGGTTAGGGTTAACAAAGAAGATAAGGTAAAACAACAAAGAACAACAAGGATTGGTTATAAACTACTATTCTTTACATTCTTTTAGAAACAAGATTACAAGTATACAAGAATAACAAAATAACCTCTCTCACTTGAAATTAGGATTTTATCTTCCTTTTTTTTCTTATGCCAAGATTGAGAAACTAGCATCTTATTTATAAGAAAAGTAGCACACTAACCTAATGGGTTTTTTAACAATTACCCATTACAAGCTAACTTAGGATACACGTTAACTTAAATAATTGGGTTTACAAGAAAGTCCCAATTCAAAATGCTAACAACCCTAGTAATATTGACTAATGCATGTTAGAACAAACTTCGACTACAACACACATTACTCTGACAGCAACATGTGAACATACTTTGACCTCATGTTTAATCCATGTCGAACCAGAAGCTACCCTTCGGCCATACTAGAGTTTGATCCAACATCTCACAATATATATATATATATATATATATATATATATATATATATATATATATATATATATATATATATATATATATATATATATATATATATATATATATATATATATATATATATATATATATATATATATATATATATATATATATATATATATATATATATATATATATATATATATATATATATATATATATATATATATATATATATATATATATATATATATATATATATATATATATATATATATATATATATATATATATTTATTCATATTGTATGAAATATATTTTTATGCTTGTTGGCTAATTTGGGTGGTGTACAATAACCATGGTCTTGGGCTATTGTGCACGATGATGTTGTCGTTGTTGTATGCATAAATAGTTGCATTTCATACATTTGTGCACAATGGTCCATTGTTGGTGAGCCTAAAATCCTATTGTGTGGATTGGGCCGGTAGTTGATTCGGAGGTGATGGATTAGTGAGTGATTCTGATCCTAGGAGGTGGGGATGAAGACGGTGAACCTGAGTGTTTACGAAAATTGGTACCACATGCATAAGCATTGAGTCAGGTGTGACTCTCATTGCATTAGATATTATTTATGTTGCTATGTTGCTAAATATATGGTATCGTGTGATTGATCGATTTATTATCATGTGATTTCCTATTGGTTGGTGAATAATTGGTGATGATATGGTTGGTTGATTAATGTGAGATGTTTAGTTGAATTTTTGTTGTGCTAACCTAATGCATACCATTTAACATGAATTCCTTTATAATATCATGATATTCCCTTCTGTTTGAATATTGCCTATACATGGACGATGTGTAGATACTCCGCAGTAGGACTCAAATGTGAGTTAAAGATGGAGTCTCCTTACCTTTTCTTTATAGTTTGGCATCTGCTCTGATTGTAACACTGGAGAGTCTTGGGATCGCATGTTTTTATAATTATATTTTTTTGAGATTTGTGGACATCTCCCTTACTATGTTTAGTTGTTGCTTGATGAATTGCGTGATTCTAAGATAAATGATTTTTATTATTCTGCTGCAATAAAATTAACATCCAGACATGTTCACGTTTTCATGATTTTACAAAAAATATATGTGTTACATAGTCAGTCTGATGAGCAGGCTTTGTATGTTAATCGTGACATCCTAAGTTGTGTATGTTCGAGTTAATTACTCTAATGTTTTATTTAAAAATATTACGAGGGAAATTTACAGTGTTACATGAAGCGCCCATCTTAAGGGAAAGAACCATACCAGTGATGATGGCTTCATATTCGACTTAATTTTTACTAGACTTGAATTCAAACATCAAAGAATGCTTGATCAAGGGGTCATCTTTTGCTTCCATTACTATTCTAGCACCACTTTCAAATTCGAGGTGTCATCCATATATAATATCCATGTGTGAACAATCTCCTCACCTACCAGTGAACTATGCTCTTCTAGAAAATTAGCTAGCACCTGAGACTTGATACTTCCTTTGGGTATATATTGGATATAACTCAATTTCTATAGGATACCATCCTTTCTGTGAGATCTAGCTTCTTCACCATGACACGATGCTCTTGAAAGTATGATATAAGCTTCCTTGCAGTAAATACGACCGCGAAGCCGAACCTCTCAATCTTATGGTATCTGGCCTTAGCACCCTTGAAAGACTTGCCCGTGAAGTATACATGCTGCTCAATTTTGTCTTTTTCTTGAACAAGTACATATTTCATCACCTGGTTAATAATAAATAGATACAAATAAAAGGGCATGCATTCCACTTATCGTATCAATATGAGTGACGTCTCTTGGAAGGCCTTCGGGTTAGAGAAAACTTCCTTGCACTTGCACGTCCATTTAAACTTATCCTTCTTCTTCAAAGTGAAAAATAAGTGAAATGCCTTGTCACTCGCACAAGAAAGGAAATAGGCTAGAGCGACTAAACACCTTATTAGTTGTTGGATTTCTTTGATGTTGGACGAAATCCTCATGTTGATGATGGCTTGAAAATTGTTTGGATTCAGCTCTATCCCTCTCCCGATTAGTATAAGTCTAGGAAATTACCCTCATGTATAACAAAAGAATATTTGGCGGGGTTTAAGCGCATGTTATGCGTCCTAACTAACTCCAAGATGTCTTCAAGATATGCATCATGGCTTTCCCCTTCTAATGTATTCATTATCATATCACAAATGTAGAATTCTAGTTTACACCCTATATGATTTAAAAATATGGCATCCATACGCCTTTGGTAGGTGTCTCATGTGTTCTTCAGTCCAAAAGGCATGACATTGTAATAGTAATTTCAATAGTTGGACATGAATGTTGTCTTGGGCACGTCCATAGAATCCATTTTGATCTGATTATTAGTCAAAATAAGCATCCAAGAAACTTAGGGTTTTATATCCTGATGAAAAATCAATCAACCATCCAATGTTGGGTAATGGATACAGATCCTTCAGGAAGACAACTTTCAAGTCAGTTAAGTTGACGCACATACCCACTTATTTAATCATTTTTAAACCAGGACCACGTTAGCAAGCCAGGATGGGTACTTAACATTAGTTATAAAGTTGACGCTTCTCAATTTCTGAACCTCTTCATTAATGGCCACCCTTTTTTCTTTGTCCGCCTTATGCTTTCTCTGGGATACTAGATTTACTGTGGAACCGATGGAGGGCAATGACAAACCACCTTGGTAACTATCCATGGCATGTCGGAGGATGTCCTAACAAAAAATTCTACATTCCTTCTTAATAGGGAGGCGAACTCATCGTCCTCAGCATCAGACAATGAGGTGCCTAATTTGGTAACATGGTGTATTAACAGCAAAAGACAACGATTTTTTCTTCTAAAACCTTTTAATATGAAGGAACCATATTGTGGTAGTGGATTGATGGTTTTCCCTACATCATGGGATTTTGCTATCATCTTCGATAGGCTTGAATATGGAGGTTTTGGTGGTGGTGGTGGTGGCGGAAGTAGTTTGGCATCTCGAGGCTCCAAGAGTGAAGAAGAAGATAGAGTTTCTATGATGAAAGAATCGATGGTTTGTGTGAGAGTTATAGACTCCTGTGGTTTTGAAAGTGGTAGGGGCAGGTTGGAAACAACTTGAGAAAAAAATGAAAGTTATTGGTTTTGTCGACATCTTTGGTGTTAAAGGTGTTTTTTCCTCTTTCAACATATTGAAAGTCGACGAGGAAGGGGGGGTAATTGGTTTTCGTCTGTAAATCGATGTTTAGATGTTTTGGTGGAATTAATAATTTGACTTCATCGTTAAAACTCATGTTCTTGAAGATGTTCTTAGAGTGAGACTCTAAAACACATACTGAATATGTGATATTCACACAAAGTGTAGATGTTACGCAAGAAGATCTAGTGTTGCTTCTTATTGAACACAAGATCCCAAATCCTTTCGTTGCCAACAGCTCCAGGGACTGCATCAGCAACAGAATCTCTAGGGAAGTAATTTTCTCTAGGGAAGTAATTTCCTTCGTAGGAGTTAATAGACTCATAAGTTGGCTCTATTTCCTCATCTAATTTCAAATTTGGCTCATCCTCTTCATCTTCTGGTAAAATTTCTCTCCATTTCGATTTAAATCTCAATAACAAAGTTGTTGTAAATGTATCTGAACTAGATCTGCAATGAAAGCGAGACCACTATATCCACCATTTGAGAGCACAACCTCTCAATGCTCCAATAGCTTTTAACACCTTCAATGACTTGGGTGTTTCATGCTTTTTGAAATATTTTTCAAAACAAAGAATCCACCAATAAATATCTTCTTCCTCGTCAAACAATAATATTGTCGTGAGTTTAAGCGGAAGTGAGTTCAAAAATGAAAGCATCAATTGTTAAGATGTTAAAATAAAAACCCTAGCAAAACTAAATAAAGTTGTAAATTCTACGCTATAAAAAAGATAAATTAAAAAAATAAAGATTTTCATTAATTTCATTCGTTCATACCTCAATGAGATTACAATAATTAATGTTTCGAGTGGATAACAAACTAAAATGTCCAAATATTAATAAAAATCCAATTAAATAACAATACAAATAAAAATACTACTTATATAAATTCTAAATAAACTTAAATTCTTAATTATAATTTTATACTCTATCACTCACTCTCACCTTATTACTAGAATTCAATTTTTTTATGTTCATAGTAAACTAGAATTCAATTTTTCTTATGCAATATCCTCCAACCTTTCATGCTACAGAGATGCATCACTTCTTCTATATAACAAGCCCCCTTCTCCCTCTTTGTTTCGATGACTCCAAATTATTACTGGAGTTCAAAACTAAATGGATGAATCTTTCCCTTACATCATTGTCCTCTTTCTTCTTACTTTACTTTCATTCAAGTTCTTTTCAAAATGCAAAAATAGAACAAATCAAACAAGTGCAAAACTTCCTCCTGGTTCAGTGGGATGGCCTTACATAGGACAAACCCTCCAATTCTACTCTCAAGATCCAAACGTTTTCTTCTTCACCAAACAAAAAAGGTTGATACATATACTCTGCATCAGGTCGGCAACCACTGAAGATTTTCGAATACTACAGTGGTTGTTTATCTGATGCAGAGAATTCAAACCCTCATTTTAACATACATTTTATTTGTGAATGTAACAAAAAACATTATGGTTCTTAATTATAGGTATGGAGAAATATTCAAGACGAACATCCTAGGATGTCCATGTGTGATGTTGGCAAGTCCAGAAGCTGCACGTTTTGTGTTAGTGACACAATCTCATTTATTTAAACCAACATATCCTAAGAGCAAAGAACGTTTGATTGGTCCCAGTGCTCTGTTTTTCCACCAAGGTGAGTACCATTTGCGTTTGAGGAAGCTTATTCAAAAGTCCCTCTCCCTCTATTCACTTCGCAACTCGGTTCAAGACATCGAAGCCCTAGCCATTTCCACCATCAAATCTTGGAGTGACGATGAAAATGATGGACGCATAATTAACACGTTTAAGGAAATGAAGAAAGTATGTTAAATCTATTTTATAGTCAAATATTTGTTTTATTTACTATAATTGTTGTGATGTGGAATGTGAAGTGTGGAACAATAAAGAGTAATCAATATTTATTTTTTGTAGTTTTCATTTGAAGTGGGAATTCTCAAAATATTTGGAAATCTAGAGCCAAGGTTGAGGGAAGAACTAAAGAAGAATTATTGGATTGTTAACAATGGTTACAATTCATTTCCAACTCAAATTCCTGGCACACAATACAAAAAAGCACTCGTGGTAATTAAGTATTAACATTTCAAGAAATTTAATTAATTTTTTGATAGTAATGTTTTGACATGTTTGTTAATTTTTTTGTGAAGGCAAGAAAGAGACTTGGAAGTATTTTAAAGGAAATAATAAGTGAGAGGAAGGAGAAGAAGTTGGTTGAAAATGAAAGAGATCTTTTGAGTTGTTTATTGAATTGGAAAAGTGAAAATGGAGAAATGTTAAGTGATGATGAAATTGGAGATAACATTATTGGAGTGTTGTTTGCTGCTCAGGATACTACAGCTACTGTCATGACTTGGGTGGTCAAGTACTTGCATGATGAACCCAAACTTCTTGAGTCTGTTAAGGTACTATCATCAAAAAATAAACATTAATTTTAGTTCCAAAATATTTTCAAGTATATTATTTATGTCAAATGACACTAATTTGTGGTGTAATGCTTGACTTGCAGGCTGAGCAGAAGGCAATTTACAAGCAAAATGATGGTAACCTACCCTTGAGTTGGAATCAAACTAGAAATATGTCAATTACCAATAAGGTATAAAAGTCGATAATACCAATATTTTCAAAATCTTGATTATTAATCTTTACAGTTATGCGTAAATAATAACTTTATAATAAAATATAATTGAAAACAAGTGCGAAAAGTTTATTTTGTGACTATTATGTTTAGGGTCATGCTAATCAGTGCCCTTAGGGCACTAGTTAAGAATTTTAAATAAGAAAAATATGTTATATTTAGTTCACTCAATACACATAATATTTTTTAAAAAGTCTGATTATTTCTTTTTTCAGGACATTGAATACACACATATATTTAAAAAATATATATATTTTCAATCTCTTAAATAATACTCAACTTACCATTTTAATCTCTTAACCAATACTCTGAGGGTACTCGTTAGCATTTCCCTTATGTTTATTAATAAATTACCATAGCTCATATTTTGATTTTGTTATATTTTAACAGGTTGTGCTAGAGAGTATGAGAATGGCAAGTGTAATATCATTTCCTTTTAGAGAAGCAGTAGCTGATGTAGAGTACAAAGGTAAGAACATTACTTGCTATATTTGCAAAACTATTCTAAATTGAAATTATTATTTTCTGTGTCAAATTAAATTACATGATCATGCACATGAAAAAAATATATATAAATTTCACATAAGAATATTTTTAAATTACAGGGTTTCTAATACCAAAAGGGTGGAAAGCAATGCCATTGTTCAGAAATATTCATCACAATCCAGAATTTTTTCCAGAGCCTAATAAATTCAACCCTTCAAGGTTTGAGGTATGAAAGAGTCAACAATCTATATGATAAGAATTAAAAATACAAAAGAAGCATGTAAATAAGTGATTTTATTGTTTTAATTTTTTTCATATAGGTTTCACCAAAGCCAAATACTTTCATGCCATTTGGCAGTGGAGTACATGCTTGTCCTGGAAATGAGCTTGCTAAGCTGGAGACCTTGATTATGATCCATCATTTGGTCACTAAGTTTAGGTATTGTTGATTAATTAAGAAAAAAGGTAAAATGTTTAAAAGAAAAATAAAAACAATAAATGGATTTATAATTAGTATTAGCAACAAGAAGACAACCTAAAAGCATCAATAATTATTTTTATGCAAGTTTTGAATATAATTATTTCTAATGGAAAGAATCTAGGGAACATATAAATGATGGAAGTAATTTTGTGATTAGTGAAAGATTAAAGTTTTGTTTGTGTATAGGTTGGAAGTGGTAGGTTCACAATGTGGGATTCAATATGGCCCATTTCCACTGCCTTTGAATGGACTCCCAGCTAGGTGTTGGAGAGAATCTACAGCAACTAGAAAAAGTATCAATCACATCATTGCTGAGAAATAATGCACTTTCCAAATACACATTAATATCTCTCTCTCTCTTTTCCTTTTCTATAATGGATATGTAATTTTTTCATGGGTGGGCACTTCAAATTTTGCCCCCTAGCTCTAAAGAAAGATTGGTAATGCCTCAACATGAAAATTTCATAACTATTATTGAATATTGAGTCAAGAGCTTTTATTATTAAAGAAATACAATGTTAAATGTAAGGACCAAGTTTCTATTCTAGTCGGATTATCAAGGAAAAAGAAACATCAATTGAAAATTAGTTGGAAAGTTAGTTATATAGTTAGAAAGTTATTTAACTTATACTACAAGTTTCTATATTATGGATGTGACACATAATATAATAATGCGAGCTATCATTTTCATGTATAAATATTGTAATTTTCGGCTATTGCAAGTAATGAGAAACTACTTACTTTTTCATTATTTTGTATTTGGTATAGTTGAACGCATCAGAATCTGATTATTTTAGTTTCTCTTCAATTTTTCACCTTCTTTCTTGTATTTTTCACAATCTTCTTCTTCTTTTTTAGACTGTGTTTATCCTTTTCTTCAATCCATTTACCATGCCTCTACGTCTTTAACCTCCGGTTTAGATCTCTAATGGAGATACTGAATTTGTTTATTGTGTTCATCTGAGCGAATGTCCCAATTATGTTAAGCTTACACTTCTTTTACATAGTTCTAACTACATACACTACAAGAAAAACTGTCTCCAGCCACGTGATTTAGTGAAGTGAAAATCACGTGGCAAAATATTGACAGTTGTGAAGTGATTTTCACGTCACTAACATGTTTACTATTAAAATAATATGAAACAAATATAGCACATGGGCTGTCAGATTTAAAAATTAAAAAAAATGTTAGTGACGTGAAAATCACGTCGCAACATGTAAAATAAAAAAAAATAATAACTAAAATGACAGAAATATTGAAGCGGGAAGGGGAAAATTTTTAAAATTTGGTTTGCCACGTGATTATCACGTCGCAACCATTTAAGAGGGAAAAATATCTGACTTAGAAGTGATGGTTGACTGTGCTACAGGTTGTAAAAATGACCGTTGGAACTTTTGTGACGTGAATATCACGTGGCAAAGTTGCGAAGTGATATTCACGTCGCTAACCAATTAATGTGAATAATTAATTATTAGCCGTTATATGTTGCGAAGTGAATTTCACGTGGCAAATTAGTGAAGTGAAAATCACGTCACTAATGTTTTATTTATGGCACGCGTGAAAATTCCTAAGACCACATCTATTGCACTTCTTTTTCTTTCTCTCTCTCAGATGCCTTCTTCTTCTTCTTCTTCTACCATTTTCTTCTCCTAATTGTTCATCTTCTGCCCAAAAATTTCTTTGGTTTTCTCAAGTGGTTTCTTGATTTTCCTTGTACAGGTAATATATTTTTTCTTTCATTAGTTATTGTTGAATTTTGTTTTAATTAATTTAGTTTAAAATGTCATTTTATATGGGTTTAATATTTGATTTTTTTGTTGTCAAATTTTTATTGTTAGTGAGAAAAGGAAACAAGAAGGAGGTTGAAGAAGATTGAAGTAGTGTGAAGGAGAGGTATTTTTGCTATTTTATTTTTTATTTTAGTTTGATTTAATAATGTTGGATATTGTTGTTAATATTTTTTTGTATGTTTATGTCATTATTATTATTTATTATTAAAAAACGAATTTTGTAGAAATATTATTAACAATAAAACAAATTTTTGTTTATAAATGAGAGAAGTGAGAAAAGGAAAGAAATTTTTATATATAGTAACAATATTAAAAATTGAATATTTATAGAAAACTGAATATTAAAAAAGAATTTTGTAAAAATATTATTAACAATAAAATGAATTTTTGTTTATAAATGAGAGGAGTGAGAAAAGGAAAGAAATTTTTAATTTTTATGTGTTATTAAATTCATTTATGTTTAGTTACTTTAAAAATTAAATATTAAAAATTAAATATCTTATTTTTAATCTTTTATAGAAATAATATTATATTTATATTATTATTAATATTTGTTATTAAAAACAGATTTGTGTTATTAAAAATAGAATAATATATTTAGAAATAAAATACTAAAAACAGAAATATATTATTTTTAATACATTATTTATTTTTTAATTATAAAATATTAAAAACAGAATATTAATAAAATATAAAAACAGAATATTAAATTTTTTTTTAATTTTTTATTATTTTAATATTTATGTGTACTAAAACCAAATTTTTATATATAGTAACAATATTAAAAACTGAATATTAACAATATTTTTAATTTTTATGTGTTATTAAATTCATTTATGTTTTATTACTTTAAAAACTGAATATTAAAAACTAAATATCTTATTTTTAATCTTTTATAGAAATAATATTATATTTGTATTATTATTATTATTATTATTTGTTATTAAAAGCAGATTTTTGTTATTAATTAGAAATAGAATAATATATTTAGAAATAAAATATTAAAAACAGAAATATATTATTTTTAATGTTTTATTTATTTTTTGGTTATAAACTATTAAAAACAGAATATTAATAAAATATAAAAACAGAATATTAAATTTATTTTTAATGTTTTATTATTTTAATACTTAGGTGTACTAAAAACAAATTTTTATATATAGTAACAATATTAAAAACTGAATATTAACAATATTTTTAATTTTTATGTGTTATTAAATTTATTTATGTTTTATTACTTTAAAAACTAAATATTAAAAGCTAAATATCTTATATTTAATGTTTTATAGAAACAATATTATATTTATATTATTATTATTATTTGTTATTAAAAACAGATTTTTTTTTATTAAAAACAAATTTTTATATATAGTATAAAATTATATATTAAAAACTGAATATTAAAAATCAAATAAATTATTTTTAACGTTTTATTTTTATTTGATTATATTTACACTAGAAACAATATTATATTTATATTATTATTATTTGTAATTAAAAAAATATTTTTGTTAGTATGTGTTATTAAAAATAAATTTTAATATATAGTATAAATTTGTAACCTTTAAAAACTAAATATATTATTTTTAACGTTTTCTTTATATTTGGTTATATTTACATTAGAAACAATATTATATTTATATTATTATTATTTGTTATTAAAAAAATATTTTTGTTATATTTTTGTTTATTATATAATATTTTTGTTATTAAAAAAAGATTTTCATATATGTATAAATTTATATATTAAAAATATATATGTTTAATAGGATATATAGAATAAATCTTTAATAGTTTATGTTTAATAATATATAGCATGTGTAATAGTTAAAATAAAAAAATATATATATTTAAGAAGAATATATATTAAATAGTTTGAATTTGTAATAGTTATTGTTTAATAGTAATTTTTGGTTAATATAAGTTTATGTTAAGAATATTAATAATAAGTTTGTTAATATTTATATTTAATATTTTATAAAAATAATGATGGTATAAATATGCAGTATGGAGTATTATAGGTACTATCGTAGTTGGATGTACGATAGGTTGTATCCAGGAAGACGCGGACTTAAACCAAATTTTGAGGAGGGAGTTAAAGGGTTTATCACGTGGGCATTTTCTCAGGAATGTTGTCGAAGCGAAGGAGGAGTTAGATGTCCTTGTCTTAAATGTGGATGCAGACCTATAATTAGTGACCCAGAGGAAGTAGAACGACATTTGAAGAGAAGGGGTTTCATTGAAAATTATTGGGTTTGGACATATAATGGAGAAGAACTTCCGAGTAGCATACCAGAGACCAGTAATACACATGCTTCAAGTAGTCAATCACCGATGGTACAAAGAGTATGACCCTTTCATAATGTCACATATTGTTAGACAAGTTTACTATGTTCCTTATCCTTCAATTGTACCACGTAAACGAGGGTGGTCTGTTGTAATCAAAACAAAACCATTGGGTCATATTGAGACTGGCGATCCATTGGAAGATGTTGCCTACCAAGTTGATGAAGTTGAACAAATTAATGATGTGATTGCAGTTGAACAAACTACAAGTTTGTCTGATACAACTGTTGAGGGGCATCAAGTTGATGCGTCTATATTGTTGGATGAAAATGACAATCACGACGAGCATGAAGAGTTTGGATCCGAGGATAATATCACATCAGATGATGATAACGATATGGATGAACATGATTTTGAATAAATTGTTTTTGTAATTTAACTTGATGAAACCTTGTATTGAATGTGTTATCATGATTGTGTCATATGTGTGTGTGGGATTGTGTTTTTTAAGATTTATTAAGAGATGTTGTTCATGAATATATATTAAATGTGTATTTTATATAAATAGGTAAAATGCCACCTCGAGCTGATAAAAATAAGAGTAAGAAGTCCCAACGTCCGAGAGTAGTAGTATGTCAGGCACCTCAGTCGACCATGTGTCCTCCTCCGCAGAGTCAGTTAGATTCTATGTCCATGGCCAGTTCTCAACCTTTCATGACATTGCTCTCCCCTCAAGAGTATCCAGCTTTTATCAGCCCATCTGGCGCTCCAGCTTTTATTAGCCCATCGGGGGCTCCAGCTTTCATTAGCCCATCTAGGGGACCAGCTTTTATTAGCCCATCTGGGGGCCCTAGTTATCCATATCAGCAGTCTGGGGGACCTAGTTACCCATCGGGGGCTCCAGGTTTCATTAGCCCATCTGGAGGATCTAGCTTTCCACCTCCCTACCAGCAGGTTCCCACACCCTTCATGCAGCCGGGGGGATCTACTTTTCCAACTCCCCTACAGGTACCCTCATCCTTCACACAGTCGGAGGGATCCCACCCCGCACATACCACACAGGGACCTTTACCATCCACACAGGTACCTTTACCATCCACACATATACCCACGCGTGAGGATAATGATGATGCAGTTGATGACGATCATGAGGTGGCTGATGAGGAGGCAGCTGAGGACGTTGATGAGGAGGCTCCCAATGACGAGGTGGTTCAAATCATTAATGGAAGATATTTTATTTGGCCC